CAGCTCGACCAGACCTGTGCCACGCCACCTGGACCTTTGCCGGCCACAAAAGTTCCAAGCCACTTGTCGGACCTGCCAGTGCAAAAAAATGGCGCTGGGTAGATTTGAATGCGAGAAAGAGAGAACACAATTATCATGAATGGTAATGAAGGCAAGCATGTATGTTTGTTGTGTGTATATGTGTATGTGTATGTATGTATGTATGTATGTATGTATGTATGTATCTATGTATGTATGTACGTATGTAGGCATGTATGCATGCATGTATGTATGTATGTAATGAATGAATGAATGAATGAATGAATGAATGAATGAATGAATGGATGAATGAATGAATGAATGAAGCGAAATGACATGAAATGAAATGAAATGGAATGTATGTATGTACATATGTATGTGAGTATGCATGCATGTATGTACGTATGTGCGTAGGTAGGTATGTCTGCATGTGTATGCATGCAATTCGTGTATGCGCACATGTGCACATATACGGAGCACGTGAGAGTTTCAGAGATTTTGGCCAGGGAAGAGTGTTTGTGGTGCGCTTACGCGGGATACAAATGGATGATGGTAGGCCCACCCTGTGGGGATTCAGGTGTTTGATGAGCGAGAGTTTCGCCCGGTTCCTCGGTGGAGTTGTAAGTAGTTGGGTGGTGGAAGCTGTACCTTTCTCAGCTTTGCGGCTGTATAGCTGGTAGTATCGGAACAATTTTTTGGCATGTATCATGGCAGTACTGAGATATTCATAGAATATTGCACGGAATTGCTGCAATGCTACGGTACTTTGTTTTATCACGAAGGTATCGGTAATCCCTACAACTGCCCACAGACCACAACGAATTAGGCGGGACCCCACCAAACTGGAACAACGACCCTTCTTTGTGCGCCTAACTCACTTCTCTCCAAGACCTGCCCCATCGAAACTTACGAAGCCTGAAGTGCTCCTGTTGTAAGAAGTTACCAGCCCGAAAGCCTGAGGAAACGAAACCACCTCAATTGTTTGCACAACTGTGACACCTCAAAATCGAATCCACAGCCAGAAAGCACTCAACAGGGCATCAACCCCCTTTAGAAAGACGTGTTGATCAGGTGCCCCTAAACCCTAAACCCTAAACCCCCTTTAGAAAGACGTGTTGATCAGGTGCCAATCTGCCGACCCAACACCGGAGGCAGGTCGGGGTGTGTGATATAGGGGCCTTAATAGTCAGTAGTTTAGGGTTTAGGGTTTAGGGTTTAGGGGTGTGTGTGATATAGGGGCCTTAATAGTCAGTATAGTGTTTTGGGGCCCATTGTACTATAATTACAATGAGGAACATGAGGGAGCCCCCCGCTTTAGTTCTGAAATTATTCAAGCCCCTACATTAAGCTTTCAGGGTTTGTCATGTAGCGAGCTAAATTTACGGCTCAGGGCTGGTAGAGGTCGAGCTTCCTGTCAAAAAGGCTTTCATAAATTGCCTTCAGACATCAGTGCTTCGGAATCTGCAGAACTGGAGTGGTAGAAGTGAAGGTGTTGGGTTTTTCCAGGCTTTTTGCGCTTTTAGAGCTGCGACGCGTTAGTTTGGATTTGCAGGGCCCCGGACAATCAAGTGTTTCTCGAACGCGACTTGGGCCTGTGTCTTCAGCCGGGAACGAAGCAAGAGTAATGCATTGAACCCCAAACCGTCATAGGAGAAGGCACCAATACAGGGGCCTCACCACCTACAGTGCTCATACTATCCCATAGGGTGCCTTCATTGCAATGATAACCGTATCAAACCCCAAAAACCCAGTAACCGCAGTCGGATGATCTCCTGGTAAGTGTTTAGCCTTTTTCAGACCTCTACATAATCCTTAAGGCAAAAAAAAAAGGTCTTGAGGACCTGATGCCCGCTGATCCTCCAAACCTGCATCGCGAGCCTCTGCCCTCCTGAAAACCCCGACAAGTCCGACGCACACATGTCGCCGAGCTCGGGCTCACTGTTCCCTAGGGCTCCAGTTACCTAAATAGTAGGTTACTGGGGTACATAATATAGGGCTAGTAACCTACTATTTAGGTAACTGGAGCCCTTGGGGTTCGTTTTAGTTAAGAATCTGAGTTTTGGTGGGCTTCTGACGAGCTCTCAGGCAGGTCTGAAGCAGATCCGAGCCTACTCTGTGGCTCGGCTGTTTGGAATTCGCCATGCCGAAAACCGTCTGTTTGACTATCAGCCTATATCCCTGAGGCTGTGTGTTCAGTGGTTTTGCCTCTTGAAATTATGGAGCCGCGGCTTTCTGACGGTTGTGATCGCCTAGTAATGTGCGAGCAGCGATGGCTTTGAAACCTTGAGGTTTGAAGTTCGGAAGCTCATGCTTGCAGAAACTTCGTCAACTCGTTCTCCGGTCTGTACCTGTGGAGCTTGGGAGTTTTATGGCTTGCAGGGCTTAGAGCTGCTAAGCGATAGCGCTTGCGACGGCTCCGTTGGCCTTCGGTGTTGCGCCAGTCACGAAGCCCAGAACCAAATGTGTCTCGTGGACCACGTGCATGGGACGTACCATAAACTTCGTACACATCTCGAGCCCTCTACTGACGGTATATCCCTAAGACCTGAACCTGACGATCCCCGTTTCAAGAGTTCTGCTGCCAGCCACTGCTCCGAGGCCTGTCTTTCCGTGCTGCGGCAGTCGCAGGAGAACACCTTCGACGAAGAGGAGACCCGCGTGTTTGGTTTAGGTCACATCCGTCTGGGTAGAATCCGGTGCGAGCACGTGAAACTACCGACTTGGCACTTGCAGTCAGTGGAAAGCAGGCATGCACCAAATAAGAAACTAGGGGCTCAGAACTCATCCATGACTCCTCTCATAAACATAGCAGCATATTGTCTCTGGTGTTTGTCATCTTTTGATTGGCAGCATAATTTGTTTCGCAGCAAAGAAAGGCACTTCCAACACGCGTTTGGCCCACATGTCAGCTTTGGCATTATGGTGTATACGCCACAGATCTCTAGCAGATACAGCCGATTCCACAGTTCTGTGTGCCTTGACCCATGTAATGTGGACTTGACCAGGACCATGTTTTGCAAGAAGTTTGGCCGTAGTTGCTAATAGGTCTTTGTCCGGATGACATACCCACTGCCGAGCATCCCAACCCTGCACCAGTAGCTTTGAGACACACAACACCACTGCCGAATTGTCGCAGAAGATATGGGGTGACGGCGCCAATGAAATTGCAACGTTGACGGCAAACAGTTCCGCACGAAACACCGATTGTAGGTCTCCAGGCAGGAGGTCAGCATAGCACCTTTCATTGGCTGGGCCATCATCAACTGCTCTTGTGACCGCCCATGAACAAAGTCGTAAGTCATCATTGTCATTATCGAGGGCCGAACCATCCGTGAAGAAGGTGATAACGTCTGGTGACTCAGGCAAGGGGAAAACATCCTGGGTTTGTAGATTTTGAAGCGCCTGCTTGTATTCATCAACCACCGGCAGTTTCGGAAACAAGGATCCAAAAAGGCGACAATGTGGCATAGACTTCACTTGGTCCCATAGCTCATCCCGTCGCAGATGTTCCGTACCCGGGCAGACAAACACCCTATGTTCCATCGTATCTTCAGCACCGCAAAACACGCAGACAGATTCATTGTCTTGGTGGACTTTCTGTCTGTTTTCGATGATTTGGAAAGAGTCCTCCCAATCTCATCTTGTTGATAAATCCTTCCAATAACTTGTCATCATGCTTGGGCTTCAGGCTGCGGTTGATGGAAAAAGAGTGTAAGTCATGTAGATACTTCTTTTGTTGAAGCTGCGGCAAAATCTTATCTTCCCATGAAGAGGACAAACGAAGCTTGAACTGCGACATCGTAATATCCCAGATTGTGAACGACCATCCATCTCCAGTTTCACATCTGCCGTCTTGCCACATCGCCCATCCCATTTCATTCAGCAGATTTTGAAAGAGGCCCACAATTCTCTTGGTTTTGCCTTTGAAGAAGTTTTTGGACTGAACCGATAGCTTCCATACCTGCTGCACCATTTCCGGCTGCTGTGCAAACATCCTCATCAAGGCCATGTATCGCATAACTGCTACTGTCAACAGGGGTTCGTAGATGTCACCAGAAAAGGGGAGCCAAGAAATGCAAATGATATTGTTGCTTACCCCATATTGTGTGGTTGCATTTCGCCCGTACTTCTCGTAGAAAGTCCTTACCCGTGGGCCAGCATTGCACACCAAAAAAGACCAACGGGTAAATGCCGCGTTTGAGAATACCAAGCTTTCGCTGTCTGTCCCAGGGCATATATTGCAACCTATCCAACAGGAGTTTGGCTTTGTTCCATCGGCGCCGTAATCTTGTGCGTCGTTTGCAGATCAACTCCCAAGCTTTGAAAGTTCTTTGCAGCACCAATAGATATCCCCTGATTTGTAAGGTTCCCTCTGACCGCCCTCGCCAACTTGGTTTTGGTTGAAAAAACAGGAGACTTGGACAGAGACAGAATAAGCCCAAACTTGCTCGCCAGTGTATCCACCAGTTTGATTGCTGAGATAAGTTTGTCTGGCCATCGTGTCAATATCATCCAATCATCCACATAGGAATACAACTGGGTTTGCGTCTTTTTGTGCAGAAAAAGGGTGTAGGGCTTACAGCTTCTAGCTTGGTTTCGGGTACCGGGTTTAGTGTTTTTAAGGGTTCCAGAGCTTCCGACTTGAGGTGTTGGGTTTAGTTGCTATACCTTCCTGAAACCAAGCCTGAAAGACCCTGGCCCTAAACCCTGAACATCCGCCCTTGCCTGCTTGCCTCGGACTTGAGAGCTGGGAACTTTCGCATACCTGGCTCGCCTCAACAGTGGTTTACACTTTTTTGCGCGCGGACTCAGGTTTCGAGGTTTTCGGGTGTGGTGTTGGTGGTGGCCTTGAGAAATTTCGGGCTCGGTATGAAGGATCTTGACTTCGGATGAGGGGTTTCATGGTGTTTTGGCGGCTCCGTTCGTTCCACAAGTTGCTTGATCTCACGGTCTGTATGCTAGGGTTTTGCACAAAGTTCTTGAGATTTCACTGGCTTCTTTTGTAGCAGTGGCTGCAACCTTGTATTGCACCTCGCGACAGCCACAGTGACACCTTTCCCTGCTTCTTGAGGAGCCACTTCGTATCCTGAATGCTTTGGGCTACCCGGCGGGACTTTTCATGACACTCTTAGAGTTTTGTGGCTGGTGGGCCGAAGGGCTATGCTTGCTGTGTTGAGGGCTGTTCGCTGCCCTCAAGCCTAAATTCGCACTCCATTTGCTTCACGTTCGAAATCGAAGCATCTGCTAGACTCCATTGACCGCGACATGCCCATTCATGAGAGAGCGGAGGGCCTATGCATATCGGATAGAGCCGAGCCGCTTTACTACAGGTTGAATGTCGAGGCACCGAGCACTCAGCTTTGGACGCCAAGCTAGAACCCTCAACTTGAAGCCCTCCCTAATTACATGACCCCAGGGCTCTTTTCAATTCCCAAGCAACACAAGCCCCTCGAGCTCTCCCTAACCCCCCAGGTACTTACCATAAGTTAGTGATGACCATTTCCATTTTCTAATCATGCACCCGCCCTTTTCACCCAAACCATAACAACCTATACCTCAACCCTACCGCCCCGAAAGACCTATAGGTAGAACCCTAGGAAAGACCCACCCGAAGACCCAAAACCATAACAACCTATACCTCCCACCAAAACCTCCTAGCATGTAACCACCAAAACACCATACACCAATACGCCGCACCAGAGGCGCGCGTGCTACGCGACCCCCCATAGACAACCCCATAACCCCAACCCGAGAACCCTAACCTTAGAAAATGGAAATGGTCTTCTCCAATAAAATAGCGATAATAGGAATAAGGTTTAGGAATTAGGTCGAACCGACTAGGACAATACTTGCAGCATAGCATGAGCTACTTGTCCAGATTCCGTTTTCAGCTTCAACCGCACCCTCATTGGAGCATTTCTTCCTGCATCCATTTGTCGATGGCCACGAAAGCGGGCCTGGCGTTGGTCTTGTTCTTTTGGGCACAAAGAGCGCCATTCCAGTCTTTTCTTGCGGTCCGTCCCGGCTCCTGGTTCGTTCGCACACAGGGTCAGTCACGTTTCGCCTGGCCAAGCAAAATGAACAGACGGGCTCGGACTTGCGCATTTTCAGCACGTTCCGGAGATGTTCGAATGTCCAACAGTCGTGTAATGAGGAAGACTGTATTCAGCGGACATGCGCAGCGCGGCTTGCCAGTTTCAGAAGTCTCAGCCGGCTTGCATACTTGTGCAATGCGGGCAGATGGTCAGCTCGTCTGCTTTGGAGCCAATGGTAACGGGCAGCGTGACGTCCCAGCAGATTTGGGACCAGCTTTGGCAGTCGCTGCGGGCCGTTTTCATACCTGTGCAGTGCGGTCAGAAGGTCAGCTCGTCTGCTTTGGTGATTATGGGCAGTGTGACGTCCCAGCTGATTTGGGACCAGTTTTGGCAGTCGCAGCGGGCAGTTTTCATACCTGTGCCATGCGACCAGATGGTCAGTTCGTCTGTTTTGGAGAGAATAATTATGGGCAGTGTGACGTCCCAGCGGATTTGGGGCCAGTTTTGGCAGTTGCAGCGGGCAGTTTTCATACCTGTGCAGTAAGAGCAGATGGTCAGCTCGTCTGTTTTGGAGGGAATAATTATGGGCAGTGTGACATCCCAGCAGATTTGGGACCAGTTTTGGCAGTTGCAGCGCGAGTGTCATACTTGTGCAATGCGAGCAGATGGTCAGCTCGTCTGTTTTGGAGAGAATGATTATGGGCAGTGTGACGTCCCAGCGGATTTGGAACCATTT